TGATGGCCAGTCGTGACAAAAACGCTAAACAAGCGCTCGAAAGGCTACTCAACGTAACTGTTGATAATGAGATGACAGTTGGCTTACATAAGGCTAGTAGTGATGGTAAACATGGCATCGATTATCGGCAACTATTTAGCAACAGTTCCTTAAATAGAAACTCATTAGAAGTCAATCATTACAACAAACGTAAGTGTAAGTTATCGATACATCCATTTCCAACTTTTATGCTTAATCTAACATCAATTGATTTTGAAATCTACTTTTAACTTGAAATGTATTTTTCCAAATCATTTTTTATCCGTTTTAAATCAGTAGAAATATTTTGCAATAATATAAAAGATTTTAAATTAAATTAAGATTTTTGAAGTGCACTGTAAACAATTTTAAACAATATATTTAATAAAGTAATAGAGTGTCATTGAATTTAATTATAATACTTGTTGCTCTTCAATATTTAATCTTTGTTTTGTTATAAAATTTAAAAGCATTTTTGTTATTAAAAATAATTAAACCTTAAAGGAAAAGTCAAAATCCACTGCATTTATATTATTTAAGTATAACATTATTAAGTTACAATGTCATTTCATAGCAACTCATTTTTTATTCAATTATTATGAAATAATTAATTTTTATGAAGTTTTGATTCATTCACTGTCTCTAAATTCCAATATTACATTCATAGGGAATATTCTTGTTTACCGATAATTCTAATTATTTTCAGGAATCGGATTATTAAAATGCTTTACAATGAATATTAATGAATATATAATATTAATCAATAAAACAATATATGGAATAATAGCTACTTTACTATATAGTCACTTTGTTTTATAATTTATTATAGAATTTATACCTTACACATGTATACATTTGTACTGTATATACAGTACGTTATTATTATTATTATTTTATTTCAATTATACTGTTTATTGCAATAATTTTGATCAATGAAATCAATGAGACATATTGCTAAACGGTATATTTATTAATTATAACAAAGAATCCTAAATATTATATTCTGACAAAGAGTTGGTATGAAATTGTTGTTATAAACTATAGATATTGAAAGTCAAAAACAAAACAAAAATGCGCTTATTATATGAAGTGATGATTAATTTTTTGCAAATAATTTGCGGAATATTCTATTATTAAATAATTTTTTTATTTTAACAAAAAATTACTAATATTATTATTAAGTATATTATTACTTAAATTTATTATTATTAGTTTATACAGTAGTTCTTGTGTTCAGTATAACTAAAACTCACTAACTGAAGGGGTGATCGTATCTACAATTTATATTATGATTCAATCTTATTAGTAGTTATCGTGAATATAATAAGATTTCACGATATTATGAAAACATATACCCAAGCAAAACGTGCAAATGACCACAACATTTGAGTTGTCACAAACATATTAGTTAATAGTTTATAATACAATTGCTAATAATTTAGTATGTCTCATTGTTAGAGATGAAATACATACATGTATATTATTGATTTAAGTTAACTATGCTTAATACAAAATATTTATATTGTAAATGTAATCAAATTATATTTTTAATAAAATTAATTTTTATATAAATACAATGTAATGCAATGAAATATTTTTTATGTAATAATTTATATAACGGTAATATTTATTAAGTTTTTAGTTTTATGCTGTATATAAAGCATGTGATTTATTTGAAAAGTATTAATGTAATGTATATTTATATAAAAATTTAAATATAGGTTCTAATATATCGCCACAATCGCCAGTCTCTGCCGATTTGGACAGTTCTAAGCGGTGTTCACGACTTCGCACAGCCTTCACGTCCACACAAATCGTTCACTTGGAGTATGAATTCAATAAAAATATGTATTTATCACGTCTTCGAAGGATAGAAATCGCACACTATTTAGGATTAAGTGAAAAACAAGTTAAGATATGGTAAGCATTTATACCATTTAATTAATATTATCTTAAGATATTCCTTGTAAACAACTAGTTTTCTAAAGCTATTAAAAGCAATTCTGGACTTGAATTATTGCAATTATTATATTATATACAGTAAAGTCTATATGAGAACGGATTGCGAGCCATTTAATCACATATAGAGTTGTTGGCAATAAATTCAATGTGCAATTTAAATGAATTATAAAAGTTGTTTGAATTATATTTAGGTTTCAAAACAGACGAGTAAAACAGAAAAAGGAAGTAATTGTCGACAACACGGGTAGTATTGATACAGAACTAAAAAGTGGCAAAAAGGCATCGGGGGTACAAACATGCAAATGCCGGTGCGCTCACAGTGTTATGGATGGGGACAGCAGTGGTGACAGAATCGGCGGCGATTGTGACGAAGGCATTGTGTGCAGCAGTACTGGCATTACATCCAATACTATGGCCTTTAATATTACGGCCAATAGCGCTAATAATGGCATTAATAGTTAAGGCTGTGACCACTGCGCTAACTGTTAAGAGTGAAAATGTGATTTATTAGTGTCAATGTGTGCACACTATTCACTGACTCCTTCCCTCAATGGACTCACTCTGCGAATGCCTGTCCTATGATTGATGACCACTATTTGGGCACAATTTGGCCACTATTTAGGCTATCAATGACTTTTTTGTTGACAAACAAGCGATCGCCAGAGTGTGTCAAAATTGCGTCTCCAAACACCCAAATGCTTTTTCCTACACATATTTCAAAGTATTTATAAAAACATTTTCACCGCTTTGTGCATATGCTTATTATGCTTATTATTATGTATTGTAATATTGTATATAATATTCATTTGTATTATTATTGATATTATTCTTGGCATAAATACAATGTAAGGCATTTGCCACTAAACCCACTGTTCAGTTCATTTCAATTTCTTAAAAGCTTTTTCTATTTTAACGAACAATAATAATAAAAAAATGATAAATAAAAATATATATTCATATTGATTACAAAATTAATTCACGAGCTTTTGATTTATCAATTCATGTGTAAGTTATGTATTGAATATTATGAACGCATATATCATAACTACATATGAATGCCAAATATTAATGATTTATTAAACATCGATATTATTGTGTTATATTATAAATAAGCGATATTTGAAAGTGATTTTTCACATGAGTTGACCCCTTCATAGCTATATAATGGCTGTGCACTCATAAAGCGTGAAATACTCGACCAAACCTTTTGATTCTTCAATACGTACTCGACTTGTCTTGAAGAGAGCGGTGAAGTACTGTTAGATCACACCTGCCTTTCCCTATCAGCGCTTAAAATAGAGTCACACATTCAATGGTATCGTTAAACCAATAATATAAGTGTAAACTACTGTATATATTGAAAAAATTTTATGGCAATATTCTGTCGGTTATATAAATCCACTTCAAGGCTGGGAAGTGGTGGTGGAAGTGGTGGTGACAATGCTATTGTCTATTCATAACTTGAGTTATTGACTCAGTAAAGGGGTAGTGAGTGTCGGTCTACAGTATGTGTCCACACGTGTGCCGTCTAAGCATAGGATAATTTAGACATTAACACAAGCATTATTCTTTCAGACCTGACTTTTGCCACACAAACTCGTATTCACACAATTACTTATTGTTTGCCAACAATTTCCTTAACCCCTATCCCTATTCCAAGAATATATATTCATATGAATGTTGTGTGAAAAATAAACTAATTTATTATTTAATGGATTGGAAACCCTATACAACCCAATGGATTATATAATATAATTTAATAAATTGTTGAATACATATCAAAGACATCAATGTGAATGAGAGCCTATGAAACGGATTTGCGGTGTTGTCTCATAAAGTTTCCCTTCAAATCTTTTTGGCCGCTATTTATTAAGAGTTTATTTGTTGTGAATAATGTAAGAATTAAAAGAGTTATTCAATTCTAATGTTGTGTAAATATTATATATGGAGAAAGAGAGAGAGAGAGAGAGAGAGAGTGAGAGAGAGAGATCTGTTCGCCAGTCAGTAGTCTTATTGGAATCCATTAAACACTTATCAACCAAAATGAGTGGAAAAGATATCTCTG